GGTGCCCATCAACTGGGTAATAGTTGAACAAATTGTGGTGTATGGATATATTGGACATAATTGTATCTTAAGAAATGACAGAAATGGAATGTAGGAAGACATAGGAACTCATGCAGAGTGAAATAGAACCAGAAGAATGATATGCATGGTGACTATATTTAACATAAATGAAATTGTCAGCGAAACGTTTCTGAGCTCAGATTAATTATAGTAACAATCTTGTTCCCAAATGAACAATTGCGAATTTTTCCCTCTTCTCAGTATAGAGGTAGAGAGGCTGCTGTCGTTCAGTTGTATCCAACTCTTTGTGACCCTATTTGGGGTTTTCTTGACCAGAGACACTGGAGTGGTTTGTCATTTCCTTATCCAGCTTATTTTACAGATGAGGAAACTGAGGCAAACAGGGGTAAGTGACTTGCCCAGGGTCACATGGCTAGTAAGTGTTTGAGGCCAGATTTGAACTCAAGAAGATGAGTCTTCCTGACTCCAAGCCCGCCCTTCTATCCACTGTGCCACCTAGCTGCCCCATGTAATACTACATATGCTATTAAATTTGATACAGAGTTTGATGGGGGAAGTTATAATTAGAAATTGCTATGGTATTTAAAACAAAAAGGTAATGATGGTCAAATTCTAAAATAACTGAATGAATTGATCTCCTTTATATGAATATTCTTTCCAGTCATGCAGATTGCAAATCATCCATACCTACCCACCCTCTGTGAAGTTTGTCCATGTGCTCCCATAACTTTGCTAGAGAGTTCAGCCATTGTACTGAGGGCCTTCCTTACTTGCTCTTGACATATTTTGTTTTGATTATATATTTCTTTAATGATGTCCTTTACTCAGGTTCTTCTTGGCAGCTCTTTGTTTATATATTCTAGCCTGCTCACATCCATCATTTGTTTCCTCATTGCCCTCTGGATTAATATTCAATTTTAATTCTTTGGAAACCATAAAGTCCCATGTCTCACAGCCATATAGCAATATCAGTAAAATATTCATATTAAGGAGATTGAACTTTTTCATTTTAAGGAGATCAGGGCCACAAAAGGAGCTCTTCAATTCCCCATAAGTAATCCATTTCACTGTCTTGTCCATTTGCAGTCTCTGTTCAAATGGCATATACTGGTGGATAAACTTTGTAGGCTGTCCATCTAAGTATATGTTACAGTTTGGACAATAAGAATTCTCAATCTGTTTGTTTTCTTCAGTTTGGAACATTCATTCAAACTCTTTTGAGTGATTATAGCTTTAATTCTGGAGGCTTTACAGTGTTCTGGGAATTGTAACCATCCACAAACAGGAAAGCCTGGAGAATGTTCACCATCCACAGAGAATCCCTCCTCAGTTTGGACTCCAAATCTCCCACCATGACAGTTGTGATATACTTCTGGTGAGCTTGTGTCCCTGTTTTATGCTTTATACCTCATCTGATATTAATGAACTGAGTGTTGTGGGAGAAGTTGTTTCTGTTCTATCTCTCAAGGAATCTTTCATAATTTTGAGATCAAAATTATATGAGTGCCCTTAAGGAGTTTTGTTCTAATGAATCAAGCCATACAGAGTAGCACAGTGAGTTCTTATACTCTCTATATATTTTAGCCAATTGTATGATGATAAAGATCTGGTCTACTATGGAATGTGACTTGTGGAAGCCCATCTGTTCCAGTTTAATACCATCATCCAGGATACCCTCAATGAATATATACGTTTTTATTCTCTTTTTAAAAAATTACATAAGGGCAGCTAAGTGGCGCAGTAGATAGAAGTCAGGTCCTGAAGTCAGGAGGACTTGAGATCAAATCTGGCCTCAGACCAAACACTTGACACTTACTACCTATGTGACCCTGGGCAAGTCGCTTAACCCCAATTGCCTAAAAAAAATTATATAAGTAGGAAAGTAAGAGTGTTGATGCTCTTCAGTCAACTCTTTTGGTATTAATAAAGCCTCAGATTTTTTCCATGCCTTTTGTATCTTCCCCTCCTTCAGATTTCTCATGAATGTATCCCTATGCTCTCACAATTGTTACGTCCTCTCTATCCAGAGGTCCTCTTTGAACAGATTTCCTCTATGTACACTTGATCTAATGTAGGTGCTTTCTCCATCTTTGTTCTCTTTTATGTAATTTTTACTCTCAATATAAGCACATCCTGGACTATGATGTTAGAATTCAAGAATAGTGGCTCTAGTTTCTTGATGGTGAACAAAATTTACTAAAAAACCCCAATAACCTTTTGGATCTTTTCAATCTTTTTTTTCCTTTTGTTGTCTTCCTTCTGGCATTATTTTGAGATACACCCAGGATGAGTTTGCTTAGTTAGACCTTTCACTAAGCTGTCTTTAAACTGATTTTCCTTTTCATTGTTTTATGAAATGACATCGGTTATCATATTATATCCTCCTTCTTTGTAAATGTGTATAAAAAAATTTGTATACAAAACTAGTATTGTGCTTACTCTCCATATCTCTGTGCCTAGAACCTAGAGTAGATGAGCAGGCAGACATGCTCTGGGTACTAAGACTGCAAATAGGAGTACAGATTGAAGGAGTAGGCTGAGAAGGAATGTCACTCTGAAATGTGAGGCGGGGACTATAAATGCGGAACACTGAATACAATGCTAGACTTTCTCAATGTTTTGATTAGTTTTTTAAAAATTAATTTATTTTGATTTATCAATAATCACTTCCGGGGCAGCTAGGTGGCACAGTGGATAAAGCACCGGCCCTGGATTTAGGAGGACCTGCGTTCAAATCTGGCCTCAGACACATAACACTTACCAGCTGTGTGACCCTGGGCAAGTCACTTAATCCCATTGCCTAGTCAAACAAAACAACAACAACAACAAAAAAAAAAACAACCCCAACCAATCACTTACATAAGTTCTTGAGTTTAAATGTTTTCCCCCTCCCTCTTCACCTTCCTCCCCAAGATGACATGCAATCTGATATAGGCTATACATACACATTCCTATTAAATATTTTTTCACATTAGTGATGTTGTAAGGAAGAATTAGAACCAATAGGAGGAACCACAAGAAAGAGGAAACAAAACACAACAGAAGAAAAAATTAGCAAATAGTGTGCTTCAATCTGCATTCAAACTCCATAGTTCTTTCTTTGAATGTGGATAGCATTTTCCATCATGAGGCCTTTGGAGATGTCTTAAACCCTTGTATTGCTGAGAAGGGTTAAGTCTATCAATATTAGTCATTGAACAACATAGCTGTTACTGTGTATAATGTTCTCCTGGTTTTGCTCACTTCACTCAGCATCAGATCATATAAGTCTTTCCAGGTTTTTCTAAAGTCTGCCTGTTCATCATTTCTTATAGCACAATAGCATTCCATTACATTCATGTATCACATTCACAGTTATGATTACTATCTGTGTCTTTCTCTCCATCTTTCCCCCCCCCATTTATGCTTTTCTTTCTCCTTTCTCCTCTTCCCTCCTCACTAGTGTTTTGCTCTTGACTACACCCTCCCTTCTATTAGCCTCCTCCCTTTTCTTCCCCTTTACCCTTACTACTTCTTCCCTCCCTTCTATCCTCCCTCCCTTTTCTTTCAGCTTTTCCCTACTACTGCCTATAGGGCAAGTTAGATTTCTATACCTAACTGATTATGTTATTCCCTTCTTGAGCCAAATCTGATGAGAGTAAGGTTCAAACAATGCTCATCTCCCTCCCTTCTTTCCCTCTGCTGTAATAGGTTTTTGTGCCTTTTCCTGTAATGTAATTTACCCTTGTCTGTCTCCTTCTTTTCTTTTCTCTCAGTACATTTTCCTAGTTAGATCAGATTAATCCACAATTTTTTTTTCAGTCTTCATTATAAAGGATAACTCTTCAGGAGAGAGTTGGAAGGGGGCTATATTCAGAAATATAAATGATGAGAAAACAAGATATCAATAAAAATTTACTTTAAAAAACTCAAAAAGTAAACTAAGGATTTGCAGGCCAAAGTTCTTTTTATGCTCTTTTGGTCTCATTTTGGCAAATGATTTATATTAGTTGAACTTATTTATGAAATTATTATAATTGGTTCTGTCATTTTTTCTCATTATATCACATTTTTGACTACCAGTAATGTGTTTTAAAAGGTCAAGTAGGAATGGTTTTAATTGCATGGCATATCTTTTTCTCATTTTTATTCTGGCTCAGTAATGTTGTTGTCTAACTACACGGACAGCTGAATTAGAAATTGAGTATTTAGATGTTTCCCATTTGTTAAAATCAATTTCATTATTTTTGTGATGTTATCTGGTATTTGCCATGTATAGTACATTCTGATTCTTTTCTCAAAGAAAGAAGGCAAAATGTACAAGCATGAGTGTTTTGCACAATCTATAAATTTTCAGTCTCTTTCCTTTTCGTTCATTTTTGACACATTTTTCATCATTTTCACCTATTTTTACATTTGCATTGATATTATTGATTATCTTGGTATGCATTGATTTAATATGGAGGACTTCTAGCAAAATTTGTAGAATTTCTCTACCTGTTTGTCTTTTTTCAAAGGATGTTTATATATAAATTGTAATTCTTTTCATGGTAGTATATTTGCAAAATACTCATCATGAGTGCTGCAACATGAGATGATTAAGTATTCCATCAAGTAGCATTATTTGTTGCCTTTGGACACATGGCAAGATCGATTGTGTCAACTCTTCAATTTGCCCTTTAAGGAAAACCTATGAGCCATTCTCTTAATCTAAAAATTGCTTCCTACCATATATTATCTTCTTATATGTCTGCTTTCCACTGTTACTGGCATCAGGTTGTGATGAGACATTTGAGTAAGACTTAATGGAGGAGTGGGTTTAGAAAGCACACGTGGCCAAAGGTAAACCCAGAACTCCTGATTACTGAAGTCCTTTTCTCTCTTGTGGAATATTCACGAAGTGACCCTTAAGTTCTCTGCTATACTCTGTCAATGCCTTTGAATAGTACTTCAGCTAGCATTCCTTAGTACATCTAGCTTAACTTTTGTTTGTCTCTTAGCTTCCAATGCAGATGCTGTTGTCAGCTACTGCTGCTCTGGTGGACAGACACAGGTAACAATGCTAATAGGAATTCTAGATCTTTCAACCTATCAAAATTTACCAAGTAATTACCTGGTCAGTGGGGGTGGGGGAAAAGGGAGAGAGAAAACTCGCTTTTTCCTCCAAGGACAATGTTCTTTCAGGATTTTTAACCTCTGGATTGGATCACCACTTGACTGACCTATTATTGGAATGTGTGGATCCAAACTGGCTTGCTGTATTAAAGTATGTCTGATTTTTTTTTCAACCAGTCACAAGGTATTTCCTTCATAATGTCATCTAATTTCATCCAATGCCCCAAAGCCCCTATGATTCTTTCAAATTGATTAAGGGAGTCATTATACCTAATTTACTTTTGATTGATTGATCAATTCAATTGAGATTTCTGGACCTACTGTGATAGTATTAATTGGAAGTGGGGATAGAAACCTCCATTCTTAAGCTCTTCTAAGGACCTTCGGAAGGAAGGAAGGAAGGAAAGAAGAAAGAAAGGAAAGAAAAGGGGGATGAAATAGTGGCAGGAGTGTGAATATACCCTGGAGCTCAATGATGTCTCAAGCTGGCTGCTGTGCCCCTGTGACTACTAAACTCCTACTACAGTTAGAGCACAGTAATATTCCATTACATACATGAATGTCAACTTATTTAGTCGTTCCCCAAGAAATGGACATCTACTTTGTTTCAGGTTCTTTGTTACTACAAAAAGGGCTTCTATAAATATTTTAGTAATATTAAGCGGTCCCCTGAACTTGTCTTTTTGAGTTGTCATATTTTCCAGAAACACTGGACCAGAGTGTACAAGAGGTCCTGATCAAGGATGAAGCCTCTTCCCTCTACCACCTCTGCACCCTGAGCTGACATAATATGTTGTTTGCACCCCAATCTGGACTCCTTGTATGTCTTTGGGAATCAAGACAAGTGCCAGTCAGTCTGTACCAGACTGAGACACTGTTTGTGTAGCTTAGACCCTTGTAGATAAGTAGACCATCTCATCTCCATGGTCTAGCAGTTCCTAGAGCTTTTGTCATCACCTTTCTCTTTGCCTTGGGAGGGGATTAGTCCTTTCCCCCTCCTCTATGACTTTTCCTTTTCCCTGTTACTTAGATACCAAGGTTTTCCCTGAACCACTAGTCTCCTCGGTATAAGGAGATCTCACATGCCTGTGCCTTTCTCTTGTAAAAAATTCAGTTGCAATGCATGTTTCATGGATTTATGATATTGTTTTTGGTTAATAGTATATATGGGACCTTTCTTTGTCAACGTCTGGGTAAAAAGGGTATGAGCATTTTAGTCTATTTCTTTACATGATTACTTAAAAAATTTATTTTTAATTTATGGAATAAAACAAGTTTTTCTGTAATATAATACAATAAAAAAGATGGTTGTACATGAAACTGCAAATCTACTATGAACAACTTGCCATTCATTTGAAATATACAAAAAAATTATCATGTAAATTTTTTTCTTTACTACCTTCTCCCCCTGCCCTACAGATGGACACCATTAGACACAAATATGTGTGTGTATATATGTATATATATATATATACATATATATACACACACATACATATACACACATATACATACACACATACATATATACACACATGTATATGTATCTATAAACATTTCCCCCAATTTTCTGCTTTCCTTCTAATCTTGACTATATTCGTTTTATTTGTACAAAAACTTTAATATAATTGAAATTATCCATATTACACCTAATTGCACTCTCTGTCTCTTGTTTATTCATAAATTATTCACCTCTCCATAAGTCTAATAAGTAATACGTTCTTTTTTTTTTCTAATTTTCTTGCAAAATCTCTTTGTATCTAGGTCATGTATCCATTTTGACCTTATCTTGGTAAATAGTGTGAGATATTGATCCATGCCCAGTTTCTGTCATACTGTTTTCTTCTTTTCCCAACATTTTTTTTTTACCAAATAATGAATTCTTATCCCAAAATCTTAAGTCTTTACACTTGTCATATACAAAGTTATGATGTTTATTTGCTGCTATAATTGTATATCTATTCTATTCCATTGATCTACCTTTCTATTTCTTAGCCCATACCAGATAATTTTGATAATTACTGCCTTATATTAGCAGTAATTTAGGTTTAGCAGTACCAGATCTTTACATAATTACAAATTTCTTTCCAGAATGGTTGTACTAATTTATAGTTCCACCAATAATGCATCAGTGTGCCACAATCTTTCTACAATTGACTCCCTATCTTTTGTCATCTTTGCTAACTTGCTGAATATGAGGTGGATTTATTTGGATTTGCATTCCTTTTATTAGGATTTGGTGCATTCTTTCTTGTGGTTACTAATAGTTTGCAGTTCTTTTGAAAAGTGTTTGTTCACATCCTGTAAATTAATTTGGAAAGTATTTCCATTTTTAGTACATTGAATGACTAGCTGTGCATATTGATGACCTCTACTTATTGAGATTTGCCTTTATTTCTCTGAAAATTGTTTTAAATTGTACTTACATAAGTGTCCTATCTCTTGGTAGGTTATGTCCCAAATATTTAATGCCTTTAATTGTTCTAAATGAGATTTCTCTTTTCATCTCCTTTTCCTGTTTTTTTTTGTAGTAAGATGATTTTTATGAATTTATTTTGTATCCTGCTATAATACTGAAGTTATTGTCTTGATTAATTTTGGGGGTAATTATCTAGAATGTTCTGAATGAAATATTGTCAGCATATGGAAATAAATTTGTCTTCTTCTTGCCAATGCTTATGCCTTTAATTTCTTTTTTAGGGGACCATATTGCTGTAGCTAACATTTCTAGTACACTGCCAAATAATAATGGTGATAGCAAATATATTGTTACTTCACTCCTGAGTTTATTGGGAAAACTTCTAATATTTCTCCATTAAAAATAATGCTATTTCTTAGTTTTAGATAAATGTTTTTGATTACATTAAGGAAAAGACTTTTTTATTTTTATGCTTTTTATTGTTTTTTTAAACAGAAATGAGTGCTATATTTTATTGAAGATGTTTTCTCCATCTTTTGCTATAATCATGTGTTTTTGTTTTGTTATTAACAAAGTTAATCATGTAAATTGTTTTCTTGTCCTTTCCTACTTTTCCAGTCTTCTTATATCTTACTCTACTCCATATACTCTATGATCTGGCAATACTGGTCAACTTGCTGCTTACAACACTCAGTTTCCTCACTCTGTGCATTTTTACTTGTTGGCCCCCATGCCTTCTACATTTTGGTTCCAACTTACCTTTCCAGTCTTATTTCCTGTTACTTTCCTTTATTCAACTTATCCTCCAGCCAGACTAGACAATTAGCTATCCTTCTAACTCAGAGATTCTTTACTTGTCTGTGAACTTAATTTTAAATGTTTTGATAATTGTATTTCAATAGAATTGGTTTCTTTTGTAATCCAATGAATTTTATTTTATGTACTTAAAAATATTCTTACACGTGGTCTGGAGACTACCAAAGGGCTCTATGACACAAAAAAAAGATTAAGAACTCCTGCTCTAACTTAACATGATACCTCTTAATTCTCAGCATCCAAGTAGGTATCCCTATGCCTGAAGTGAATTCCTTCCTCAGTTTTACCTTTCAGAATCCTTATCTTCAAAGTTTAACTCAGATATTATTTCTTCTGTGAAGCCTTAAACCCCAAGTGAAAGTAGTTTCTCCTTCCTTAAATTTTTCTAGAGGGTTTTCTGGTTCTCTCCTTTGATCACATCACCCTCTGACTTGCATTATATTTACCTGTTTGGGAGCCATCTTGTCCTGTGTCTACTCTACCCCCACCCCAGGAGAATGTAAGCATCTTGAAGGTAGGGCTTTACCATTTTTCATCTTTGTTTCCTTCTCACCCAGTATAGTGCCATGAGGATAAGAGGCATTTAATAAATGTTTGTTGAATTGAATAGGGTTTGGATAGTAGTAGCCTTTTAAGAATGACCAAGTTCAGTGGTATGTAAATAAAAATAATAGAATGTACACACACACACACACACACACACACACACACACACACAAACATATGTATAGGAAAGAGTAGAAACTTTGTGAGGGCCAGTTGAATGAGAAAAATAAAAACCATTGGTCCAGAAAACATGTTGATCATGACATTTGGATAAAGATCATTTAGAAGCAAGTTTCCATTCAATTCAACTAACATTTGTTAAGTTCCTACTATGTGCAAGGTAGAGCAGTAATGTACTGGATAGAGGGCCTGTCTTGTAGTCAGGAAAACCTGGATTTAAATCTTGCATCTAATACATACTACTTGTATAATCCTGGACAAGTTACTGAACCTCTCAGTGCCATAGGTAACTTGCTAAGATTATGAATTGTAGAGAGAGGAGTTGCAGACCTGCATCAATGGAAGGAATTTCTATCTTGGGAGTTCCTTATACTGATGCCATATAGAAAAAAAAGTGAGAAGTACTGAAAAGAAAGATTCATCCTGAATTTCATGGTTTCATTTTTTTCTTTCTTCCTCTCTTGGGTATCTAGCTGAAGAATTAAAACAAAAATTAGAAAACTTGGAGAAAGAAAAGAGCACCCTAAAATTTCAGCTTCCTTCAAGGCATCCATCCATTAGCTCATTTTTGGACCATTTTGGAGCCCAAGTCCAATCTGCTCTGCACTGGGCTACACATGGGTAAGTACTTGTGACATTTACCATCACTTTACAGTTTTGCCTTTGCAAGGATAACACTTGGCATCTGCTTTATTTCCTTCCCTAATACTTGCTTTTATGCAGTCTTCTCCTCCCTCATTTCAACTTTGAGAATCCTTATTTTTGGCAGATCTTCTTTTGGAAGATTAAGTTGGCAGCTTGGAGGAAGCTCTAAGATCCAACCAAGGCACCACTTCCTTCATGAATTACCTGTCATCTGAAAACTGAAAGTATTCTTGGGTGGATAGCGTTTATGTGTCTAATAAGCATGATCAATTGATGGGAGAGTGGCATTCTTTTCTTTTCAATTGTGGCTCTTTTTTTTGGTGAAAATAAAAGTCTATTAAATAGCTAGAAATTTTACTATTGGCATAAACATGATTTAAGTGGATGATACATAACACAGAACAATATATACAGAAATATAAACAGGTATAGTTAGGCACCTTACCAATTAACTACTATCTTTCTTTGTCTCAGTCAGTTAACAAGCATTTATTAAGTGCCTACTATGTGTTAGGCACTGTGCTAAGTACTGTAGATACAAAGACAGGAAAAAAAATAGTCTCTGCCCTCATGGAGCTCACAGACTAATGGAGGAGACAACATTCAAACAGTTATATACAAATGAGATTTATCCTGGATAAATTGGGGGTAGTCTCAGAGGGAAGGCATTAACATTAAGGTAAAACGGGAAAGGTTTCTTGCAGAAGGTGAGACTTCATTTGGGACTTGAAGGAAGCCAGGGAAGCCAGGAGGTAGAGATGAAGAGGAAAAGGGTTCCAGGCATGGGGGACAGCCATGGAAAATGCTTGGAGTTAGGAGATGGAGTGTGTTATGTGAGAGACAGGAAGAAAACCCATGGCATTGTATCACAGTATGTGGAGAGGAATAAAGTATAAGAAAACTGGAAAAGTAGGAAGGGCTTTAAAATTAAACAGAGGATTTTGCATTTGATCCTGGAGGTAAAGAAGGAGCCATTGAACCAGAGGCTATTGCTGTAGTCCAGGTGGGAGGTGATGAGAGGCTGCTGGTTATCAGAGAATCTAAACATTTCCAAGCTTGTATCTAAGAGTCAAAATATCTCCAAGGTATGGGTGCCTATCCCAAAGTACTTCACTAATTTCAACATTGACCAAATTCCCTTTAGCCTTTTTTCTGCTATTGGGTTTAACACAATTAGTAAGAAGTAGAAGGATGATAGAATGGAAACCCTCCTCCTCCTACTCCTCCAAGAATCAGAAGACCTGGATTCTTCTAGTCCTGTCTCTGCCACTAACTAGCTGTATGGTCTTGAGTAAGTCATGTTACCTGTTGCATTCCTAGTTCTTCAAAGGAGTTGGACTAGAAAATCTCCAAGGCCCCTTCTGAATCTGACATTCTATGATTTTAAGAAAGTTCCAGTTGTTGCTTATAATTTGTGATACTGCCTGCCATTTTGTAAGTATGAGTTGGTACAGGATCTTATGTATGAAGCTCTGTTTCATCCTGGATGTCATACTTACAATTTGGAGAAGTTATCACCAAATAGATAATGCTATTTCAACTATGAGTACTTGTTAGGAGGAGACAAGTTTCTCCTAAGTATGCATTCCTTCTAGCTGCTGGTATATTCCCCTACAAGGTTATCTTGTATCTGTTTTGTGTGTTTTTCATATACCTACATATAAATGTAAATATATATATATATATATATGTTGTCTCCTCTATTAGAAAGTAAGCTACTTGAGGTCAGGGCCTTTTTTGCTTTTGTCTTTGAGGTCACAGCTCCTGGCACATAGTAAACATCTAATAAATGCTTGTCCATTGCTTGTATGATTGAATCAAAGAGCATATGAAACATTATTCTAGTCAATTATGCTTTCTATAAAAATAGAATTATTAGAATGGTAAAATAGGAATAGTGATTAATCACTAATTGCTAATACAAAAAAGTCACATGTAATTTAGAGCAAGTCAAAGTTTAGCTCTTCCTTTATCGTCCTATAAAAGATCAACAGAGTAGTAAATAAAAGATAGAAGGGCTTTTCATCAGATAAAACTTTTGCATATAAATACAATGCTGTAAAGAATTGGATATTAAAAGTGAAGAATTTTCATTTACTTTACTTTATTGTAATGGTAACTGAGGTCCAAAGAAACCCAGTGACTTGTCACTTCCTAAGTTACAAGTTTATTTTTCATTTTAATCTATTACACTAATGTGAGAGTCCAGTTGGACTTGGGATTTGTACATGGTAACCTGAGAAGGCCTTTGTTATCTTTGGGCGGGGTACCATGTGTGTGTGTGTGTGTGTGTACTGTATGTGCTCAATAATTCAGACATGTATCTGCATCCAGAGAAAGAACTGATCAATACAAGTACATATAGAATGATTACGCACACACACACATTTGTGTATAATGGTAGCCATCTCTAGGACAGGGGTGGGGGAAGGATGAAAAAAGGGAAAAAAAAAGAAAGTTACATGATAACTTTATTATATATTTAAAAGGAATAGTAAGTTGTGTGTAATAGATTTGCAGCTTCATGTGCAATCTTTTTTTCCTTTTCTACTAAGTTATAGAAATGCTTGTTTTATTTTTTAAGTTCAGAATAAAATAAATGAAAATTTAAAAACAATTCAGATGTGAATGGGGCATAATGAAAAGATCTCAGACCTGGGATTCAGTAGACTTAATTTTTATCTCAGTTTTGCCACCAGTTTTGTAATTTTGGGCAAGTGACTTAAGAGCAATTTTCATATATTAATTTGTTCATTCACTCTCAAAATGTGTATTAAATGCCTACTATGTGTAACGTGTCATGAGGTACTTGGGTGATAAAGATATATGATATTATCCTTTCCCTAAAGGAACTTACAAGTATAATTACTTACATGAGCCTTGTATTTTCTCATCTTCAAGTTGAATGACTTGGACTGCACAATTTCTTAGGTGGCAGCTTATGGTACAGTGGAAAGAGCCTTGACTTTGGTGTCCATACCATCTGACCCCTAATGCTTATTCTTTACATAAAATTAGGCAAGTCATTTGTCAATCTCTCTAGGCTTCAGCTTCCTTATCTAAAATGAAGGGCTTGGGCTAAGTGACCTCGGAGGTCCCTTCTGGCTCTGGATCAATAATTTCAAGTCCCTTTTCAACTCTAAAGTTCACTGATCCTAGCTGTGGCATGGAATATCTTTTGATATCCCCAGTATAGTGATTGGCATCCAATGTGCCTGATAAAGAACCCCCAGTGGTGTGCATAAATTTCTTAGAAAACAGTGTATGCACGTTTTTTTTTTAATGAATGCTTTGTGTAATAAAATATGCTTGAAGATGGATAGTCTGTCTTCTTTACTGACTAATCAGGATTCCCTCTATGAAGGCTTCAGGAGGTGGCCCCCTTAGCAAAGCAAAGAGCACTTGAAAGCATTGGGAAAGTCTGAATACTCTTTGGCTGGTGAGGAGGCAATGATGTGTAATCATCACAAAGCACATACACATTAATAGTCTGGCACTTGAATAGTTGATACACAGATGGCTGTCTATTTCCTTTTTTTTTTTCAAATATGACAGGAATATTCACACATAATAGTCATGCAGTGAGTGTAATTGATAGAATACAGATTCTGCTGCTGTGTCAATTTCAGCTGAAATTCTTCAATGGGGGTGGGATTCTATCTTAACTTCAAAGTTATTGTTTTTCCCTTCCTGTGAAGAGGACCAAATAGAAGAGTCAAAGTTTTTTTTTTATTTTTTATTTATTTATTTTAGCAAAAGTGCTTAACAAGGGTCTGCCTAATTTGCACTGGAGCATGTAAGACAATAAATACACATAGAGCTTCCATCAGCATACACATTCTTTGCCTGAGTGCCACTCTAGCATACCAATGTTTTAATACTTGACCCTCAGTGATTTGATCATTTTATATACTGATTAGTTTATAGCAGAATTGTACTAATTTGCATTGATGAGGGAGACTTGTTGGGAATTATTACACATAAACAGAGCAAACACAGTCAGAAAATACTAAAGAATGACCTGGCAGAGCAAGGAGGAGACACATGGTCAAAACCAGACTTTGCTTGATTACTGGATCACACTGTGGCCTGGGGTAGATCATAGCAACTGTCTGTGGCTTCATTTCTATTTTTAGAATACTGGCATTTCACAGGGGGCTGTCATTTGGATTATGTAATGAATATGGCATATGATAATATGGCCAGTTTCCAATTCCATCCATGGAATATCTATCTCATAGATCATCTGTGATTAATTTTAAATTTCAGACAAGCTCCCCTTCCTCAGTCCTATCCAGATGGTATGTGTTTAGGAGATCCAGACAAATCTTAATACTAACCTAATCAAAGCAGTATAGGAAGTAAGTTTGGTGCAAAGAATCTTTGCAAAACCATCATCTGTGTCACTGTAACCCTCCATTTTCACAGATAATTAAGACAAGATGAAAGCCTTTTCTTTTATCTTCAAACTTGCTCCCCACCCCCCTTTTTTCCCCCACATTCTTGGAATGCTATGGTTATATAGTACATGATACAGCTAGGTGGATCAGTGGAGCTGGGCCTGGAATCAGGAAGACCTGAGTTAAAATCTGGCCTCAAATACTTACTAGCTGTGTGACCCTAGGCAAGTCACTTAACCTCTTTTTGCCTTAATCTACTGGTGAAGGAAATGGTAAGCCATTCCAGTATCTTTGCCAAGAAAACCCCATGGGGTCACAAAGAGTTGGATGTGACTGAATCAACTGAAAACAGCAACAACAATGTAGTACATAGTTTGTTGGTATATGATGAGTATCATTCCATTTTTCAGATGCAAAAATTGACAAGGCTGAAGGGTATAGGAGCTCAATCGATCAATGCATACCTATCGAACTCCATAAACATTGGACTGTGTGGGAGAAACAAAAGAAATCTGCAGATCTGTTAGGGAGAATATTGATTATTGTTGACATTTTTATCATTAATTTTGCAGTCATATATGTGAAAAAGATGACAAGACATATATAAAATATTTAAACTCTATGTTCATAACAAATGGAGTTGGTCAAAGGCATTCAGAAATGAATGAAATGATCTGGGAGTAGAATGAGACTCTATCATTCTGTAAAAGTCCATTGATCTGGGGATCCTAGGTGAATATGACTTTGTTATTATTATTATCATTTTTCCTATAAAGACCAAGTAAATTGCAATACAATATTGTACATCTCAGGATTTTAAGAAACAAAATGCATGGAGGTAGAGAGAAGAGCTTTTAGTAAGCTTCTATTGAGGAGCTGGGAGAGGTAGTTGGATTTAGGGTTAGTACATTTTACTTACTAAGATATAGAGAAATAAAAGTTTCTTTGGTAGTTTGCAGCAAAAAAAGGAAGACCTCATCCTTCTCTTAGAGAAATTTCAAAATTAGTGAGAACCTCTCAGGCAAACGTGTAAAATTATGAAGTGGGAGAAGCCAGGCCATGAACTAAAGGTGGAAAGCTTAACTTGACATTTTTAGGACATAGAGTTTACACCTCAGACTGACAGATGTCACAGAGATATAGCAAGTCTTAAGATTTAATTGCAGGATAAGCCATCCTTGGTGATTTACTAAATGATAAAATTAATTTAAAAGGTATCTTTGATTTTGTGGCTATTAGGCACATAGACATGTTCCAATATTTTAACAAAGTAGAACTTATCTTCAAATAAAAACCAAAGGATTGCAGTAGAGATTAAAAAGAACATGCTTATACATCTCTTAATATGTTAAAAGCTCCTTAAGAGAGCTTTTCTGCTGATCCCTGATCCAACATCTGTGAATTTGTCACATTAAAAAAAATACAAAACCCTCAATTCATAGGCTCCCAAAGTGGGTGATACCACCCTCTAGGGGGTGCTGGAAAAATGGGGGTGGTGGTAGTAGCCTTGGGTGCAATTAGAGGGTTTTGAATAAAAGTAAGGGGGTGGTGGAAGCATAAGGAAAGAAGAGAAGAAAATTTTGAAAAACCTTAAAGTTGTAGTGATTACATTATTTTCCAAATAAACACACAAAATGCAAGATATAACCAATCAGTGGTCAAGGCTGCTGACAAGTCTTAACAAGCAAATGCTGGCAGTCAAGGTTGTTGCACATTGTTGGGAAGTCCAGCTTGAATCCGAAGGAATATGTGTGTGTAATGACTTGTTTACAATACGGTGCTATATGGTTACATGACACAATATTACATCATCAGAATTTCAATGCAGGAAAACCCCACAAATTTACAATAATTTATAAGCATCATTTAAAATATATTTTATATATTTTTTGAAATAATGCAAATTAAAAAAATGTAAAGAAAGCAGATTTCCATGGGGGCGCTGAATGATTTTTTTTAAAGGGGACAGTAGGCCAAAAGTTTGGGAACCTCTGCCTTAGATAATCAACCAATCAACCAATCAATCAATCAGTTAACAAGTATTTATTGTTTACACTGTACTAAGTCTGAGGATAAAAAGAAAGGCAAAAAACATTCTGTGCCCTCAAGGAGCACACACTTTAATGGATGAGACAACATGTAAACAACTGTGTACATACACAAAAATATCCAGAGTAGCTAGAATGTAATCTGAAAGGGGAAGACGTTAGCAATTGCTTTATAAATCCAGTTTATGCATCTTATCTTATTTTTGAGAGGCACTTCGGTACTATGGAAAGAGTGCTGGTTTTGGAGCCAAAGCACCTATGTTCAAATCCTGCCTCTCTCTCTTAAGGTCTGTGTTTAACCTCTATGGTCTTATGTTTCCTCTTCTGTTAAATGAGGAGTTTAGAATAGATGACCTCCATGATTCCTTCCCACTCTAAACCTATGATCCTGCATTTCCATGACCTTGATTAGAATGTTAATGGTGACCATTTTATAAGCCAATAAAGACATTTTACTGATGTTAAGATTTCCAGAATTTATTTACCAGGTTGCTCCAATATAAAGTTTTACTCTTTTACCTCTTAAGGGTCAGCAGTGAAGAAACCCAACCCCAGCTTAGAATGGACACCAACCTCACAGAATCTGCAGTTCAGGACAGACTCCAGGTTTCTATCACTAGGAGAGATTGGCTTCTTCAAGAGAAACAGCAATTGCAGGTAAAAGGATGATGAAGTTGGAAGAAAAATGCACTACTGGTAAAGTCATTTTGCAGCCATTTGAGGCAAATGGGATAAATTGGAAATCTTTTCTTTGCTTCAGTGTAGCAATTAGAGCTTTGGCTGGAATCCAATAAAATTCTCTAAGCAGTGATTGGAAGAGGACTGTCACAGGGGTTGTATGAATCTCATTATAAACGAGGGGCTGAAAACAGTGGCTTTTGTGCCTATTTTTGACATACCTCATTATCTTTTAAATATGTACTTTGTGTTTTCTAGGCTCATTTGTCATCTTTGATCATGCTAACCTTTGAAGGTTTTTTTTTGACGATAAAAAGAATTTTGCAAAACACAATCCCATTTGAAAATCTTTATTGCACCAAACTGTGGGCAATGGTAGACCAGAAAGATATAAACCAGTGCTGGGAAAGGGAATGGAAATAATGGATAAAAGCCAATCACTGGGATGGTGCAATATAAGGAATGGATGGCAACTAGAGGTCAGTATAAGGCAGTGAGTCCAAGGTCAGCAATCATAAACTCACAGAATCTTAGCTATTAAAACAGACTTTCAAGGTGACCCAGTCTAACTGTTGACTTATCTTCAAGATGTCCAACAAATAATTAGTCAGTATTCTCTTTAAGACTTCTAGCTTTGAGAGCCAGAGATCACTCAAATTCGAAATCATAATAGAGCAATGGGTTAAGATCAGATACATACTTGGGAATTGGAGAAGTAGACATGACTTATCACAGACAAGTAGACTTCAACACTGAAGCAAAGTCTGTCTGAGATAGGAAGCTTAGTTACGGGATCTCAAAGTAATCGAGTACACAAGCTTAGTGTTTCCCACCCTTTCCAACACACACACAGACACACAATTTTATATTCACAGCTTAATGCTTTCTGCTGTGGCAGGAACCACTGATTGGCTTCCTAGGATGTGACCAAACCTGGAACTAGGTTTCAAAGTCGACTATAAGACAAAAAGTTGTACTGAATGGCAGATAGTAAGAGTTCTACAGAGTAATTTGGTTTTGGTATTCAACCCTAAACACTGCCCTAGCCATAGGATTGTGGATTCAGATGGGCAGAGGATGGGAATAAACATTTATTAAGCACTTACTATGTGTCAGGCACCCTGCTAAGTACTTTAAAACATTATTTCATTTGATTTTTATAATAACCCTGGGAGGTAAGGGCTATTATTATCTCTATTTTATAGTTGAGGAAATGGAGGCAAACAGAGATTAAGTGACTTGCCCAGGGTCACATAGCTAGCAAGTGCCTGAGGTTAGATTTGAAATCAGGTCTTCTTTTTTTTAAAGAATTTTATTTAATTTTTAATTAATTAATTAATTTATTTTTAGTTTTCAACATTCACTTCCATAAGAATTTGAGTTTTAAATTTTCTTCCCCTCACTCCTTCCCCTCTCCCCTTCCCAAGATGGTGTACAATCTGATATGTTATAGGCTCTACATATACATTCCTATTAAACATATTTTCACATTAGTCATCTTGCAAAGAAGAACTAGAACCAATGGGAGGAACCACGAGAAAGAAGAAACAAAACAAAACAACAACAACAAAAAAAGAGAGAGCAAATAGTATGTTTCCATCTGCATTCAGACTCCAAAGTTCTTTCTCTGGATGTGGATAGCATTTTCCATCATGAGTCTTTTGGAGTTGGCTTAGATCCTTGCATTGCTGAGAAGAGCTAAGTCTATCAAAGTTAGTCATCACATAATGTGGCTGTTACTGTGTGCAATGTTCTCTTGGTTCTGCTCACTTTACTCAGCATCAGTTTCCAGGTTTTTCTGAAGTCAGCCTGCTCATCCTTTCTTATAGCACAATAGTATTCCATTACATTCATATACCACAACTTGTTCAGCCATTCCCTAACTGATGGGCATCCCCTCAATTTCCAATTCTTTGCCACCATAGAAAGAGCTGCTATAAATATTTTTGAACATGTGGGTCCTTTTCCCATTTTTATGATCTCTTTGGGATACAGCCCTAGAAGTAGTATTTCTGGGTCAAAGATATACACATTTTTATAGCCCTTTGGGTGTAGTTCCAAATTGCTCTCCAAAATGGTTGGATCAGTTCACAACCCCACCAATAATGCATTAGTTGAACTCAGGTCTTCTTGATTACAGGCCCACCTCTCTATCCACTGTATCATATAGCTGCCTGCTGGTAATAAGGTTCATCCATGGTCCAGTGCAGTCACCTAGAAAAACCTTGTTTCTGGGAATAGTGTGTTTGAGTATATTGATAGAAAGTATTTAGCCTTGGACTGAGATGGTGAGGTAGGGCCTTCCTAGAGTGAATATAAATCCTCTAGCCTGGTTCCATGGTTCCCTTGGCATGAACTGAGCCGAGGGTTAGATACTGTCAGATACTTAGCCCCTTCCTAATAATTTGTTCTTGCTTTGATTTTATGAATTATCTTTTCCAGGCTAGGAAGGATGTCTAGTAGAACTCTTATGAATTTTCAAGTGACCTTAGAACTTGAAGTTGCTTTTGATCTCTGATTTCTGCATTTTTGTTTTTGTTTGGACCTATGATTTTTTTTTATCAGTGTAGAGAATTCCTGGTGTAGAATTGACAGGGTTGGGGTAGACATCCATGTACATATATAAGTAAATACAGATTATATGCAAAGCAATTTCTGGAGTGGAGGGCACGAGCTCTTGATGAGGTCAGGGGGAGATTTACATAGGAGTTGGCATTTGACCTGAGGCTTGAAGAAAACTAGCAATTCTATGATGCTTAAGCAAGGAGGGAGTGAATTCCAGTCATGAATGGCTGCCCATGCAAAGCCATGGAGGCAGAAGACAGAATGTTGTATATGGGGAGCACTAAGTGGGCTTATTTATCTCAATTGCAAAGTGCATGGGGGAAAGGAATATGGAGTAAACTTGGAAAAGTAGGTCAAAGCCAGATTGTGAAGGGCTTTAAATGTGAACTGAGGAATTTGCATTTTATCCTAAAGGCAAGAAGGAGCTACTGGAGCTTTTGAACAGGGTAATAACATGGTAAGACCTGTGCTTTAGAGATATCAATTTGTCTTTTGAGGAATGGATTGAAGAGGAAAGAGATTCGAAACAGGGAGACTGAGTGGGAATCTGTTTCAATAGTCTGGGCAGAAAGTAATAAGGGCCTGAACCAGGATGAGCATGATGATGCGAGTGGAGAGAACACAGGTTCTGGAGAGATATTGTTAAGGTACAAATAACACCAGCAACTAATTGAAGGGTGAGAGAAAGTTAAGAGTGGATGAGAAGCTGATGTTGTGAACCTGGGAAATTTGAAGGATGATTGTACCTTCAGAAATAGGGAAATTAGGAAAAAGGGTGGGTTTAGGGGGAAAGATAATGAATTCTGTTTTGGATATTTTGAGTTTGAGATGCTTATGGGGTATCCAATTAAAAGGTCCAGTAGATAATTGGAAATATAAGCCTGGAGTTCAGGAAGGAGACTCATCAACCAATGAATATTTACTAGGTGCAGTCACTGTGCTAAGTGATGGGAATTAAAAAAAGGCAAAAACAGTCTCTGCCCACAAGAAGCTTACATTCTAGCAGGGAAGACAACACATAAATAATTAGGTACATACAAAGTACATGCAGAATAGATGAAAGTTAACCTCAAAGGGGAAGCTCCATTATCTGGGAGAAGAGGGGAAAGATCAGGAAAGGCCTTCTGTAGAAGACTGCATTTGTGCTGAGTCTTGAAAGAAGCTACAGATTCTAAGAGGTGATGACAAGGGGATGGGAAGGAGAACTGCAGGCAAAGGGATCAGTCAGTGACCCAAAGGCATGGATGGAGATGGGTGATGGAATGTTGTGAATGAAGAAAAGCAAGTAAGTTAACACAGCTGGATTGCAGAGTGTGTAGAGGGAAAACAAAATGTCAGAAGACTGGAAAAGCAGGAAGGGATCAGGCAAAAGCTTTAAAAGCCAAACAAACAAACTATATTTGTTCCTAGAGCAATAGGGAGTCACTGGAATTTATTGAATAGGGGAGGTGATGTGGTGAGATTTGTGTTTTAGGAAAATTATTTTGGCAGCTATGTGGAAGATGGGTTGGAGTGGTGAGAGATACTAATTAGGAGGTCAATAATCTAGCAATTGCAATAATTGCATTAATCTAGCCAAGGATATGATGAGCACCACAATTGGGTCAGTAATATGTGAGTGGAGAATTGTGGAGGTAGAAATGACAACATTTTGCAACAGATTGGATATGTGGAGTGAGCGAGAATGTGGCGTTAGCTGAGTATAAGGCCTACCCACCTTTCTAATTACATAATTTTGTGAAAAGAGGCAGAAACAAGGAGAACTGTGGGAAGAATACTGAGAAAGCATCCCATATTTACTCAGGGTAAAGATATCCATCGTGTCTTTTTCCCTAGCATCTTATTTACATATGTCTGATATGAGGCAAGTCATTTCATGTAAGAGACCTCAGAGCTGGGTTACAGGAAGACCTCAGAGACCGAATCGCCTTCTGCTGCCTAGAAGAGCTGATTGGACGAAGAAAAACCTTTTTTCTGGGAACTGACCAGAGCTGAGTTTAGGGTTCAGAGATCTCTTGTAGGGTTGGGAAGCAGACGACAGAGATTACATTGCAAATTGCTGCCTGAGAAATAGAGACCCTTTAGAGTCCAACCAAGGAAGCAGAACTGGAAAAGCTGGGACAATCCTAGGCTTAGAGTTTCTGCTTTGCTGAAAGAGCTGAACACTACTTCAGTGGCCTGGAAGAATAGCCTGTGAAAAGTGGCCCCAGCCAGCATGAAGGCTGAGGGGCCCAGAGAGGTTGCGGCCCCTTCCTCAAGTGAATTAGTGCACAGATTATTCCTGGAGGGGGTAAAGGGCATTGAGACCTGCAGGCCAGAGCTTTGACTTGGCCTGGGCACATGTGGTCCCTTAAGTGCCCCTTAATATGTTTCCATAAGTTTGTGCCATTCTTCCCTATGGACATTGTTTATATTGGTGGGAGAGTGTGTCCCAAGTTTATGGGTAGAATGTTATATTCTGTTTACTTTTGCTTTGCCTTTTGTTTAATAAATGTCTCTGATTAAGAGTTAATAGTGTCAGGGGCAGCTAGGTGGCACAGTGGATAGAGCACTGGCCCTGGAGTCAGAAGGCCCTAAGTTCAAATCTGGCCTCAGGCACTTGACACTTACTAACTGTGTGACCTTGGGCAAGTCACTTAGCTTCTGTTGCCTCCCCTTCCCCCAAGTTAATGGTGTTATCTTTCTCAAATCCACCTATCCAGCCTTAACCTCTCCATTGACCTCCAGTCTCACATCGCCAGCTGCCCATTGGACATCTGAAAGTGGATATCCTTTTTAAGATGTCTATCTTAAAGTCAACATGTCCAAAATGGAATTCATTATCTTTTCCTCCCAATCCCCCCCTTCTTTCAAACTTCCTTATTACTATCATGCATAAACATTCTTTATATCCCCAGTGCTTAGGAGAATAGTTGGCTCACAGTAGGTGCATAATGAATATTTATTGATTGACTGACTCTACTGATTTGTTAAACAGAAAGAGACTAGTAGAGGCTCAGGAGTTCTAGTCGTTAGTAACAGAAATATAGTTACTCACATCAGGGCTTAGTATCTTTAAAAAAATGGGTTGTGGCATTCAGTACACTAACATTTATTAAGCACCTACTGTGTGCTAGGCACTGTTTTAAGTACTGAATTTTTAAGTATACTTTACAAATAAAGGCAAAAAACAAATAGTTCTTATTCTCAGGTAGCTCTTAGTCTAATGGGAGTGCCGTAATAGCAGTGTGGCCACTCTCCCTGGGAACTCCAATTTTCCAGTATGATTGAGTGCAGGTTGGTTGAAAGAGCCATACTAGAGTTTTTTTTAATAGGGAGAACAGTGAGGATCAGTGCCACACACTATACTGCACAAAGGTGACATTTAGGTTCAAACTAGGAAGATGGTAGTGGAAGTTGGTGGGATATGAATTGGTGTGGTTGGTTTTGGCTTGGGAAAGGGCCACTTCCTTGTCAGTGACTAGAGCAAAAGAAGAGATAAATGGGCATGATGTTGGGGGGGGTGTGAGAAGAGAAGGGGAAAAGAGGGAGCTCTTGGTGAATGGCCTCAGTTTTTTTCAGTGAAGTAGGAGGCAGGGTCCTCACATAAGCAGGTGGGGGGAGGAGAAAAGGGGTTGATCCCTGTTGATCACTACTCTCTGGGGGGATTTAGAAAAGATGAAAATGTTTGGACCAGCCACTATAAAGAATGGGATAATAGATAAATTAGGTAGGGTAGAATTCTTGCCTTGCCTACTTTATATGTGATAACAAATTTACAAGTGAACTCAGTCAGCAAGGATTAGTGATTTCCTCCCGCTTCATTTAGCAGCACATGAACAGGAGTGAAGACAGCAGATGGTTGGAATATTCCAGGACTGGAGTGTGGCAAGTCATGGCTGGCAATAGGACAAAGTCAAAAGGGATTCATATGCTTAGAGGTGATAGTTGAACTCAAGGGAGTGGTTGAGATCATCAAGAGAGAGTTTAGACATAGAGGAAGTCCCAGGATATAGCTCTGGGGTGCACCGACACGTAGGAGCAGGACATGGATGAGAACTCAAACTGGTAGGTGGAGAAACCAGAAGTTCTTTGAAAACTCAGGGAGGAAAGAATGTCCAAGTAGAGGAAGGATGGTCAACAGTGTCAAGTGCTACAGAGAGGTCAATATGGTTGAAAAATTAGAAAGGGCAAAAGCATTTGCCAATTCGTTGCCAATTATGATGCCATGCCATGCACATAACTAATAGCTCTCCTAAGCCTATGTTATTGATATATCACTTATGACTTCCCAGGTCTAGTGAGGGAAGTAGAAGCATGTAGGGTTCTAATAAGAAATTCTAACTGACTAGAAGCTCCTTGAGGTCAGAGTCTGGTTTCCCTTTTGTCTTTGTACCTCCAGCATCTAGTTCAGTATCATGCACATAATATTTTTTATTTTTTTAATTTCATTTATTTATTTATTTATTTATTTATTTTTTATCATGCACATAATAGATAGTTAATAAATCCTTGTTGGATTGGAATTGAAGTACTACTACAACATTTAGGAATTAGCCCAGCCTCTCCTCCCAATCTAAGTTAAATGTTGACTGACTGACTGACCTCCAGAAGTGATGATGCTTTGAATAGTTTGCTTCCATCTGCATTCAGACTTCAAAGTTCTTTCTCTGGATGTGGATGGCATTTTCCATCATGAGTCTTTTGGAGTTGTCTTAGATCCTTGCATTGCTGTGAAGAGCTAAGTCTATCAAAGTTAGTCATCACACGATGTGGCTGTTATTGTGTACAATGTACTCCTGGTTCTGCTCACTTCATTTGGCATCAGTTCATGTAAGACTTTCCAGGTTTTTCTGAAGTCAGCCTGCTCATCATTTCTTATAGCACAATAGTATTCCATTACATTCATATACCACAACTTCTTCAGCCATTCCCCAACTGATGGGCATCCCCTCAATTTCCAATTCTTTGCCACTGCAAAAGAACTGCTATAAATATTTTTGTACATGTGGGTCCTTTCCCCATTTTTATGATCTCTTTGGGATGCAGACAGAAATTCAATTTTTGAGCCCATGGCATAGGCTAGATGGCACTTGCCATTGATGTCATTTTATATGACAAGAGCAATACTCTGCTTGTACTCACTAGATTGGGCAAACTAATGGTCAAATCTGGCCAAACCTGAGAGTTAAGAATGATCTTTACATTTTAAAAATAAAATTTTATCTCACAAGCCCTACAGAAACAGGTGGCAGGAGGATTTGTCTTTACTGTTTGCCAACTCCTGCCCCAGATTATAGCCCTGTAAAGACATGCTTCTATGGTCTTTATTCACACACACACACACACACACACACACACACACACACAATTCCCACATTTGGACTCAGATGGATAGCTGGCTGGGTTTGGAGGAGACCTGCTGAGTGGTATTATGTACTTCATAAGTGACTACATTGGATAATGCTCCTTGTCCTGGCATCTCACCATTGTATCCACTATGATGGAAGTAATTTATACATTTATGGCATTTTTCCAGTCAAATTTTTGGATGCCCCCAGCAGTTATTTCATGCTTGGGGAGGACTGTTTCTCCTTATGCCAACTAATCAGAAATGTAAAGCCAGCATGATTTTTCCAGTTCAGCAAACCTCAGAAAATCTGCCTGCCTCAGAAGGAGAAGCGTCCGTCACTGCTCTGGTGCATACAGTTAACTCTCATTTAAATGACTCATTATCAGCCAAGCAGTTTGCTGTTAGCAGGGTTAATCTGTAAAATCTGTTCTGCCTGTCCCCTACAGAAGGAAATCGAAGGCCTCCAAGCAAGGATGTCTGTGCTAGAAGCAAAAGATCAACAATTAAGACGGGATATAGAAGAGCAAGAAAGGTTCATCCAATTTCAGGACTGTGAGCTGACTTCCTTGCTGGGCTGTGTGCCCCTGGGAGAACTGCAGGAGGTCAGGAAGGCCTTGGATGACATGCTAGCCTTATCCTATGAGATCCCATTTAGTCTGGAGCTCCCTGGAACTATGAAGAGGTATTTTTTCTTCTTTAATTATTTTCTAGTTGTTGCCTGTGGTGAGTGGTGGCACCCTCCAGTTGCCGAATTGTTTCATCAGCTCATTAGTACATAAACACTTTCTAGGCAGGGCAAGTAGCTCAGATGACTAGAGCTAAGGCTCTAATTTGCTCAATTTCATAGCTATTCATTCATTCAACAACCATTTAGGAAGCACCTACTACATGAAAACCATTGTTTGGTATTGGGGGAGATTCAAAGAAAGATAATTGAGATATGGTTCCTACTCTCTTGGAGCTTTCAGTCTAGCAGGCAAGATGAGACAGGTACAAATATGCAGTAGTACATAAATACACAATAACTTTGATAAGAATAATAATAGCTAACATTTATATAGTACTTTAACATTTCTGAGTCACTTTATATATGTGGATCTCAGTAGATCCTTAGAACAATCTTGTGAGGGTAGGTGCTATAATTGTTTCCATTTTGGAGATGAAGAAACTGAGGCTAAGAGACATTAACTACCTTGATCAGGCTCACATATTTAATAAGCATCTGAGGCAACGTTTGAACTCAGGTCTTCCTGACTCCAGATCTACCGCTCTATCTACCATGCCATGATACCTTATTATAAGAATATAGCAGTGATAGAGTAGAACAGAATGTGAGACCAATTAAAAATATGATAGCATCAAGTAGATTTTTGTTTTGATAGTGTCAAGTAAAGGCAGCTAGGTGGTGCAGTGGATAGAGTACCAGGCCTAGAGTCAGGAAGACTCATTCTCAAATTCAAATCTGACCTCAGATACTTACTAGGCATCTGACTCTGGGATCACTTAACCCTGTTTGCCTCAGTTTCCTCTTCTGTAAAATGAGAAGGAAATGGCAAACCACTCCAGTATCTTTGCCAAGAAAACCCCGAGTGGGGTCATGAAGAGTTGGACATGACTAAAATGACTGAACAACAACAATAACATCAAGAAGAACACAAGAAAAGCATGAACTGTACAAAGGGCCTATGTGAAGACAGAAGAAAGGTCTCAGACAATTGTTTTGCAAATGGACATGACTGGGCATAAGAGGGACTAGTTAAGAGAGGGTAGATGTATTGATACGTCTGTTAACAATGCTGAAAGAACAATGGAATCATTGAACAAACACCCCCTCTGTACTGAGAACTCTGAAAGATACAAAAGATGTATAGGACCTGGTCTTTGCCCTCAAAGAAGTTATAATTTTGATAAGTCATACACACATGAAACAGATAACAATTCTAGAGAAAGTACCAAAGGGAGTACTGTAGAGAATATGTGCTATAGAAGTTCATAATGCCCTACTGATGTTTTATGGTGGCAGCAGCATTTTTGGATATGAAAGACAGTACATTATTATGTTGGAGAGAAGCCTTGAATTAAAGTCACCATCTGCTGCAGTAAAATTAATTAATCTATTTAGTAATAGAACCATTTGAACTCTAGGCTTACTAACATACTCAAAGCTTAAATCACTCAGAAAAACTTATAAATATAAAACCACTGCTGTTCTCTAAGAAACCTCTAGCTTTTGGGACCTTGGCGCTTTTTTTTTTTGCAATGCTGTCTCTGTCCTAGAAACTCTTTCCTTCTTCCAATTTCTCCTCAACCCCTTTCTGAGATCTTTTATGCCTGGAGCAACCTTGCTAATAGGTACCTTCCTCTCTGTGACATCAAATCTCAGGGAAACCAACTAGGATTGGTTTCGTTGGGATGTCAATCAAACATGACTGTTAGAGACGTTGCTTCTCCCTTCCTAGAAAATATCTCACCTGTATCCTCTTGACTGAGCAGCACTGTTGTGTGGGATAGAGCTCTAGTTTACCTGCACCAAGCTCAGAAACGTGAAGAAAGTTTGGCATGACCTGGGTCCCAGGTGACTCTTGCTGGGTCATTGATGCATTTCCATCTCCTGCTGTGGCATAAATTCATTTTGCTGAAGATCCGGACAGTTCCCTTGATTGGGTCTTAGTCGTATCCTGTCCCTTTGGAGAGCTGGTTGTATCCTTGTCTCTTTGGGGACTGTAACCCAGACTTATTTTTGCTTCCTCTTTCCCCTGTTCGTCTCCACGTGCCCTTGTATGTCTCAGGTTAAGCAATAAGCTTTTTTTTCCCTTCTGTGATTTTAAATGCTCCAAATAAAGGCCTCCTGCTATAGTTTTCACTAGCTATCCTGCTTTTTTGGTGACATCCTCAAAGTTATAAAAAGCAGTTGGAATGGGCCGGGACAGCCACTTTATCGATAATCATTTGCCCATAGCCCTATGGCCAGTAACTTTTCAGCTGGGTGAATGGTAAAGAAGACTATTTTGCTTTAATTTTACCACATTTTATTAGGAAGAAAGATTGGCTGTCAAGACGTTTTTGTTTTTGGGTTTGGGGTTTTTATGTGCTTATTTGCAAAATTAATTTAAAATGCCCAAACCCCAGCAGAATCAAACTGGTTGCCTAATAAAGGCTTGTTGTCTAACTGGCTAATGTTTACCAGGCTAAAAAGAATTAAGAAATTTGAACTTTATTGTACTGAGGATGATGTACGAAGAGCTCTGAACTCAGAGTGAGGGGATGTGGTTCAAGTCCTGACTTGGCCTTGAGCAGCACACCTCTCTGGATCTCTGTTTCTTCATCTGTAAAGTGAGGAAGTTGGATTAGATTATCTCTAATTCTCTTTCAACTCTATAATACATCTATGAGATGGGACACCTCCAATGATTGAACCCATTCATGAAAATTTCCCTCCTTGGAATGCTAGTTTAATGGAAGTGGACATCACATATAGAATGATCTTCTTGTTTTGGGGAAGCCCCACACCACCAAGAGCAAGGTTATTGAGGTTTAATTTGAGGAAGAACATTTGATAATATAGTCAGTGGGCAGTAAATTGTGCTATGTGGACATTATTATGGGGACTTCTGCCTCAGTCTCAAATGTAAAAATTCAAGTCTCTTTTCTGGTTGATATTCTAGGCACAAATTATCAGATGTGCCACCTATTTTCCCTTATATTCTAGACTCACATGGATTAAGGTTTAATGTGAGGATATTTTGGATGATTATAATTTACCTTATTAGACTTGAACCCTAACCTAGTTTCCTGAGCACATTTATAGGTTATTTTAATTCAGCTTACATTTTAGTATCAGAATAGTCAGGAACTGTATGTTGAAATAGTGAAATATTTAATTGGGACAGAATTGCAAAGAAATAGAGAAAAAAAGGACATATTTTAACACTCAGTCTAGATGAGTTCAATTTCATCTCTGATTCCCAACAAAGCAGCCTAGGAAAACAATTTTTCTGATGCTCATGATTCCTGGAAAATGGGGAGTTCTCTAGAGCTCCTCTAACAAGGGCAAAGTAGAGCCTTAGGTGAAGGTATCCTTGCTTGAAGCCTGTCGGGATTATGATACTCTGGTCGTATCTCTGCTCCATGGTATTTTTTCCTTGTTTCAGGGACATGATAAAACTCAGGGGCTCTTGAGTGATGTCATCCTAGTTTCAAATGCTTTGTGCTTTTACCTAATTTAAGTGCACATCCTGGCTTTTCCTCTTTTTCCCAGACTCTTTTATCTGTTGTCCCCATGATGCAGTCACCAAGCACCATAAGCATGTCATCGTAAGAGTAAATAGGGTCCTGGGAGTATGTTCCAATGAATGTTTGCTTTCTAGGCCCAGACATTTTGGGAAAGATGATCCCTTTCCATCAAATGTACTTCTATTGAGAACTCACTCCTCTGTACTACAGTGACCATGGCAGTAGGCAAAGAAGTGAGGATTTTTCTAGTCACAGATCTTAGTATTATATGTAACCTAGGGGTTAGGGCATGGTGGGAGGGTGGACAGAGATGAGAACACATAAGAGATAAAGTAATGAAATTATATTCTCATATTATGGAGAGGATGCTCCTTAGCTCCTATATTACAGTTAATGTTTATTAAGTGTTCACTGTGTATCAAGAGGGTTTCATATTTAAGAGTCAGTGGTGTCATTGTGACACCACTATTTTATATAAATGGGAACACACCGGTGAGGGCTCAGGAGCAACAGTAACAAGTGATAGGAGTGAAAGGATACGCTCTCCTTCCACCCTGGAGTTACCTCTAGGAACCTGAAAGAGTTGAGATCTCTCAAGTAGCTGTATGGTTGTGTCCTTGGTCCCCTGTCTGGAAACATCCACTCTGACCTGCCAAAATGAGTACAGTAGAATGAGTAGGCCAACCATCTCAAAGAGGGAGTCTGGGAAGAGTTTGCGGTTGGTGCTACAGAATCATTATTATTATCTCAATTTTTTTTCTCTTCTGGACAGTGCTGAGCTGGGGGTTCCATCTCCTAGTCTTTGTGTATCTGTGAATAATAGTTAGACCACTAATGTTTTCTTCTTTTTGGCCTGTCCAAGACTTGGAATAACTGGGTAATATATGAAATGGAAAAATCATAAAATACTCTTTCATGAAGAGAATTTTCAAAGAGTCATGATTATAAAACACCTGCAGAAATAAACGACTTACACTATCATTACTTTTGTTACCAATAGAAGTAGCTATATCTTGTTTGTCAGAGATACTCTGTGCTGTCTATGGAGAAGTAGGCTTTGATGTACTCACTCCAGTAGCAGTGTGGAAGTTCAAAAGGAATAATGTATTTCTTGCTCTGGATGAACTTGACAATAAACTTTTTAATTGCATTTGGCATCTCTGAGCCTATTACTGGTGGCAGGGTGTCTGATTGCATGAAGGGCGTCATTGGTGACCTTGGCACACTGAGAATCAATCCTCTGGATGAGTGTGGTGTGGGCTGGGGAAACTTCATTCCTCCCCTTCCCCACTTGCTTTCCGTTTAGGTATTCAAAATGAAAGCAGAAGTTTTACAATTCCAATGATTTGTTTGGACATGTAGCTTGGAGATAAAGGGATGGGAGTTGAGTGCTGCCTGTTTATGACAAGGAGAGCTGCTGTTTGACCTTGGTTGCTGAGAGGGGTTTTC